TAGTAACAAGTGCCTTACTAGTAGTAACAAAAAGCTATTAGAATTAATGTAAAATAGATTTAATAGCTTCTTGTTACTAGTAACTAGTAAGAACGCTCCTAGTAGCGATGCCAGGAGCCCGTAGCAGCGTCCTTGTTCCTAGTAGAGTAGAGTGGTAAGGCCAGGAGCCCCTTAGTAGCTACTGAAACTTAGTAACTACTCCTTACTTGTTGGCTTACTTTAAGCCTCTCACGGCCTACCTGACCCTCACACACCGGGCGAACACTTGGCTGACCCGCGCTTTTGATGTTGTTGCCGTCCAAAAATAACAAACTGGATCGGTATAGAACTTGATCAATGTTTCCTTTTCTTTCCGTTCATCTTCTGACCTTTTTTCGTTTCCCTTTTTCCCAAGACAGTGAGGGGCCAGGGGTTCATACTCCATGTATATATAGGAGGGGGTGCCTGTGTGTGCTTTGAACTTGGGTACTGGTGCCGCTGCAGGACGCTACCTGCAAATATGTTTTGCTCTCTGGGGTCTATGCTGCTGCAATTTCTCTTAAAGTCCTGAATGTTTCAAAGCTTGAGCAATAAATTACACAGAACATCATAGAACTACTTATCGAACTTAACTTGCACACTTCTTCTTGTATGACTGTTTGCACGGCTCCTGGTTGAAGGTTCCCGGTCACTTGCCCCAAAGCCAGAAACTCCTTAGTGCTTGACATGGATCTTAAGGAACCCGCAGGGATTGTGACCATTGCGAAGCACGTTTTGGTGTGACCCAAACACTGCACATGCTGGAAATTGCTTGGAACTTATTCTTGCAAAATCTCCCCTGTGATTAGAGACAAGTTAAAGGATAGTTTGAGTTCAGATCAACACCCAAAAATACATTTGTCATCATTTGTACATAAATAGTAAACTTTGCTACTAGTAGCGATGCACTTGTTCCTAGTAGCGATGCACTTGTTCCTAGTAGCGATGCCCTTGTTACTAGTAGCTGCTTCTTGCTCCTACTTATTCTTTGCTTTCTTGAGCAAGTGCTTCTTGGCATCTTGGACGTGCACGGGGCTTGGAGTTGCACCAGCCTCGCAAAGAATGACTTTGGACACCTTTCACTGGACGTCTTGGCTCGAGTTCAATTGAAGACATAGTTCGGAACCATGAGGTGGCAAGAAAACAGCGACAATTCTTTTCACGGACGTCTTTTCGAAGAAATCTTACATTGGAGGCTCCAACCTAATAGCCATGGCCTCCACCCTAGTAGCGATGACCTCCAACCTAGTAGCGATGGCCTTCATCAATAAGTAGCGAACATTGTTTCTAATAGCTTCTTGTTACTACTAGTAAGGCACTTGTTCCTACTAGCGATGCACTTGTTCCTAGTAGCGTCTCTTTGAACAAACGTCTTGGGCTTCCGACCTCTGAACTTGGTCGAGAACTGGATTCGCCCTACAAGGCAAAGCGGAGCGCCAGCGCGGGTCGTTTGGCAAACCAATCAATTCAAAACCGATTTTTGCAAAAGGGTTGGTCCTTGGATCCTTCGACAGGACTTGGACTCCCAAACGAGTCAACTTCGAGCAAATCCGGGAGTTCAGCTGGCTGACTTTCTGCTTCTGGTGTCCTCTACAGGAGTGCTTGCGTGATTTAAGATCCATGCCTTTCAAACAATTTATTCGCTAACTTCCTGCCGCCTTTTGTCTCTGTTTGTTGGGTCTTTGTGCAGGTCTCAGTCAGTGTGTTTCTGGCCTTGCCTAGACGGACTGGGCGACTTTTGCGATTGTGCCTCTTGCGGCATCGCCAATAACAAAGTCTCAAGCACTGCCTTGGATGACTCGGTTTCGCACCTGTTCCCACCCTTTGCCAGGCGGACAGCTGTTTAGCACCTAAATTCTCAGACCAAATTCCATCCTCTTACGCTCTTTTACTCTTTCTTTCTTCTCTAGGGTGGAGGTAATCGCTAGGTTGGAGGCCGTCGCTAGGCTGGAAGCGGGTTTGCCACATTCCCGTTGGCCAAAGGGCACACACCGGCCGATGATCTGAGTTGGCCAGTCCCAAGGCGCAGTAACCTCACTTCGATTGACGTCCACGGCCGAAGGGGCTGCAGAAAGCGTTGGGAATGGGGAAGAAAAACCAAGCCGAATTGCATTTCAGAATGTGAAAGCATTGCTCGCGAGTGTGCCGACTGAACCTCATGGACCGGAAGACAAGGCGGTGAACCCAAGGCGATCAGAGGCGAACCGAACGGGGCACACGGGCATCGCTACGAACGTAGCACGATTGGCACTTCCCAAAAGCGATCCAAGGGCTGAAAACGTTTGGTACGTTCGGTTCGCGTCCGATTGCTCTGTTTGGTAGCCATGCCCTTTGTTACGTTCGTAGCTTCTGGTTACTAGTAGTAAGGCCAGGAGCTAGATTCGTAGCGTCCTTGCTTCAGTATCGGGGCGGAGGTGGTGCGCCGGAGGTACTTATGGCAAGATTTGCATGGCATGCGCATGGCTCCCTGGCATCCCCTGCTGGAAAGAGAAGGACTATGACTATGCATGTCATCGGCATGTGGAAAACTCACACACACACACACACCCTTTCGCTCTTTCTATTTTTTGGAGCAGCCACTCTGTGGGTTCTTTTTTTTTTGGGGGGGAACGTGTGAAATCATTCATAATTGTATATAGTTATATATATATATATATATCGATCATGGTGCTTGACAACTCGTCGCACCATGCCTGGCAGCTACGTCCGAGCAACTCTTTCGCTGGACACTGACCTTGGAGTGCAACACACGGTCGCACCAGGCTGGCTGTCTTTCAAGATCATAGGCCGCCTGTCCTGCAAAGGAAGACAGAAGAATCATACGAATCGAACAGCCACGAACAAGTCTAAAACCGTCTCAAGGTCTTTTTGATTCTTTTTTGGAAAGGGGGAGGTAACAATGGCAAACAATTGTAAACAGGAAACAGGAACAAACAACCTCCAGCTCTTATCATCTCCTGTCTGTCCTTCAAACCTATTGGGCCCTCTGCATCCCTCTGCGCGAGCGCACACACACACATCACGTCCTTCCACCAAGCGATATGTTGGTGGGAAATACACGGGCCCTTCCATCAGGCTGAACTCCTCACATTGCCCGTGAATCGGAAGGTGAAAGGAGCGATGAAGAATGACTGGTCCAATGGCTGCATGTGCCCGTGCTACCTAATAGCGTTGGCCTCCAACCTATACGAGCGATGTCTTCTCTAAGCGGTTTGATGCTCGCATTATGCTGGACAACCGACTCCGCCACCTGCGACGTCTCTGGTTGAAGATTCCGACTCCGCCTGACCGTGTCCGAGCCCCTCCTTCAGAGTTTCCTGCAGCGCATGCCTCCAGGACGAGAGCGAGCGAAGCTTCAGCTACACTCATGGCGTTTTCCGCACAGCTTGCAACTGCATATTGGATGGATTTTTCTTTCAAGCCTGCTCTGAGAGCGACTTGAATACAGTTCGTCACCTTGGAATTCGCTGCGACTTGACATCTCCATAGCTGCCACTTCTCAAAACAAACATGTTATCATGTCATCAGTTCCAGTTTATGGAGTGTGCCTGGGATACGGCTTCAAAGATAGAGTTCTATTTGCATCAGATTTCCTGTGGGTGCGCGCCTGTAACCGTTACACCTCGGGGTGTGCACGTGGGCTGCAGCCAGCTCGTAATTGCAAGAAAATAACAAGTACACCAGTCTTGAACTGCAACAAGAAAAGCAGGCCCCGTTATCATAAGTGCATTTGGAGATGTACATTCAACTCTTGGCGTCCCCGAATCATCCCGATTTTTTTTCCGAGGGGCTTTCACGAAAGAGTCGCAAGACCTCTTCAGCTGATGGCGCTGATCCTTCTCCAATCTGAGCAATTCCAACTGGGCTGCCCTGTTCCACACTCATCCATCCTCGAGCGGTTATCAATGCAGGTAACTCGCTTTAAGATGCTTTAAGTCCATATTTGTCAAGCCACCACCCGAGTCCAACATCCACTTCGATGTACAAAAATTACTTGCAAAGACCTACAAGTAGCATCAAGTACCTAAATCTTCCTATGATCTCACACATCTAGTAGGATCTAGATCTCTGATGCGGCCAAAGAGTCCACCTGTCAAGGTTTTTCGCAAGGCTTGAGGATTTGCAGAAGCGTCTGGAAAATTGGCTCGGAAGTTGAAATCGCCGCCTCGGAGGCTTGCGGTCTCAAGCTCTCTGGATATGTGGTGATACATGTTATCGCAATACATGTTATGAAGATGTGTGACCTTGAAACATTGCGCATCGGTGTAGCGAAGTAGAGAGAAACTGACTTTGCCCTATCATAATCTGATGACACTCCTTGAAGCAATGGCGCTAAGCACCACAAGATCTGCACCCTTGTCGCGGCAAAGGCCTTACCCGAACGAACCCGTTCGGAACCGGTTTTTCCACTGACCTTTACAGGGGGGGCAGTCTAGTCACAGTCGACTCGTCTGAGGCACCAACTGTGAAGAATCTCTCGCAGTTGATCTGCCCTTTCCTCCCACGAGATGAGTCTGACCACACGAATTCAGTAGGACGGCAAACGCCTGCTGAGTTTGGCCACACGCCAGCATGAAGATCATGAAGACTCTTGGATGAATGCTTTTTGGGCGTGGTTGGGCACCAAAACGACTTCAAAACGAGTGTTGCACAGCTTTCTAGGCCACCGCGAGGCTTTGGTGGGAGACAGCCTCTCTGTCAAACATGGCAGCGTAAGACACGGCACTTCTACGACGCATACATTCATGATCCTCGAATTGTACAACGTATCGGCAGGGCACGGGAGTTTATGGGATTGCATGATGGAACATCATGTGAACATGCCGTAGCAGCGTAGTGATCAGGCTGAGGCTATGCAGGCTAACTATGGTCGTCCTGAGCCTTCTTGACTTGTTGACCGCTCTCCAAGTGCACCGATGCAGCACAAATGCTCGTCCTTGGCGGCGAATGTTACTGGGTACCCACCGCAGATCACATGAAGCCGCACGGCGACTGCACATGCCCTGATCCCCCAGCTGCAAGTGAGAGTCTCTTCTACTTGAAACGTCACAGCCACAGCACCCTGAGGGCAAGAGACATGTCTCCGTTGCACAGCGATGGTCTCCAACCTACTAGCTTCTTGCTACTAGTGGTAATGCCCTTGTTACTAGTCGCGATGCCACTAGTAGCGAACCTTGTTCCTAGTAGCGATGCCAGGAGCCCCTAGTATCGATGCCCTTGCTCCTCGTCGCGCTCTCAAGGAAGGTTGCAAAGTTGGAGCCATATGGAACAAGTGACATGTAGATATGAACATCATTGACCCCCAAAGCCAAAACATAAGTCCTAAGCATGTCTTGACACCCTCCTCTTGAGGGGTTCTCCGTCTGGTCACCTTGTTGCCAGCTTGGCCATAGAGTCCAGAACGGATGCGCTGGGCGCTTACACTGCGGATGGAGCTCGCCAAGCGCGAGGCCACAAACGCTGCCACCACAAGGCCAACCATACCTTGTGCTAAGAAGCTGCGTAGAACACACCAAGGATTCAAATACTCAGAGAAACCACATTCAACATAACTAGTAACAAGTGCCTTACTAGTAGTAACAAGAAGCTAGTAGAAACAATAAGAAGCTATAGACTTCAATGGGGCGGTTCCACTAGTTTTGGGCCATCAGGCCATGAGCACAACTTGGCGTGGATTCAGTAGGAAACTGTATGGCAAACGGCTCGGTTCTCATCTCCCTTGTGTTCTGGAATTTGTCTTGTGGCAAGAAGGGTAGCTTTTCTTGGTTTCTTTGTGGGTTTTGTTCTTGTTGCTCTTCGTTTCCCTTTGTTGTTCGCCGCGGGTACTTATCATCAGGGCTTCAGTATATGAGCTGCACTATCAGCTGCATGTAGAGGAAGACGCCAACGGTGCACTGTCTTGTATTGTGGGGAGGGCGCAGCCTTTGCTGGATGGCGTGGCTTGGGCTGGTCCTCTAGGCAAAGCGGGTTGGAGGGTGTCAGAGGCAGATTGTTGCTACGCGAGACTATTGGGTTGGAGGCCGTCGCTATTAGGAGCAAGGACGCAACGACTACAGGCTCTTGGCCTTACTACTAGGAGCAATGTTCGCTACGAACGGAGCGATTGGACGCGAACCGAAAGGAGCAAAGGGCATCGCTACTCTCGGTTGCTCCCAGGGAGTATATCCTCTCGAGCCAGCGGCCGTGTGGCACTGTGAAGTCCAGCGATGCCATACGGAGAATCTTGCGAATGCCGCAGGAGCCACCGCCGACCCTAGCTCTTTTGATGGAAACACCACGCAGTTGCAAAGGTCTTGTCTTAAATGACCTGAACTCACGAAACAACAATAAGGCAGTTCCCAGTACGAGGCACTGATTTGCTTGCGAAGTTTGACATGTTCTGCTTTCAACTTGGCTGCGTTTGTTTTGACGTTCTCATGCGTCACGCGAACGCTGAACGCTGAACGACATCTGGCGTGGCTCTCGCTGCCCCCCAAAGGTCGAATCTGGCTCGTTCGGAGTTTGTATCCCAGAGAGGAGAAAATATCAGATAGAAAAGCTACTCTATTTTGGTGGTAGCTTGGAGACAACTGCAAGGCAACCTGGCTTTTATCCACAAGGTCCTAATCAATGGGGAAACCTTGTTGGTGTCCCAATTTGCAAACCTCTGTCTGTGTCCTTGATGCCCCTGACTGTCCAAAACCAATCACATGATGCCTCTCGAATGACCCATGTCCGCTTGGTCAGTACATAAACATAAAAGCAACGAACCAATAGCTACATAATGCTACACACACAAAAGCGAACAACTAACCAGCTAAAGGAACAGGCAACATCACAAAGAATAGCAGCAAAAACAAACGAAAAGCAAGCTAGCAGGAAAGCAAACACGCAGCAAAGCTGCGGAACAAACCCGTGAAAAGAATACAAGTCCTCTCTAGAAAAAAAGAATCAGTGTACAAAAGCAACACCTGGCTGTCTAGGCTGGAAGCCATTCCTATCAGGTTGGAGGCCATCGCTATTAGGTTGGAAGCTATGAGGTTGGAGGCCATTGCTTCTAGTCTAGGTTGGATTGTTTAAAAGCAACACCTGGCTGTTGGGATTGCGCTGTCTAGGCACCGACCGAACGTACTGGTACAAACGTCTCGCCCGTCTCGTTCAACGCCGTCGAGGCTTTCGCTTCAAACTCCGACTGCCGCGCTTCATCCCCGGAACTCAGCAAGACCACGTTGCTGGCAGAAAGCTCCTCAAACGGAAACGACGAACCATGAACCAACACATGAAGCTATTAGCATCCCAACCTAGCGATGGCCTCCAACCTACTAGCGAACCTTAAGAAAACGACCTTTTAAATACATAATGTTACATATTTGACTATCATACGTGCTTTTTTTCCCATTCTTCTTGCTTTTCAAGTCATAAATGTGACCTTCCTTGTGTAACTGGAGTCTGCAAAGCTTTCAGTGCTTGGACGTTGTGCCTGCTGAATCTTAAGCATTTATATGGGTCCGGAGTGCCTACAGGCTCAAGGCCGAGAAGATCATTTCTGCGGGTCAAGTGTCTGCAAACTCTTGAAACGCGAAGACAAAAATATCAGGATGCACTTGTTCACCGTTCACAGTGGAGGCGCCCTGAATCAGGCCTGCAGGTGCCCTCCACGGAGCAAAAGGCGGAAACGGCCAAGAGGTGGTTGGTGATTTAGCATGGTGACATTCTAAAACCCAACAAGGTCTTCATTCCAACTGATTGAAGCCAAGGCAGAAAAGAAACTTCGTCATGAAAAAGTCACCTTAAACCCTTCACGACGTCGTCCGCGAAACAGATTTGCCTTTCAGCGTTGCGGGGCATTCCCAGCAGGGATGACCATGCAGATTCCAGGAGGCAACTGCAACCAAAAGCTTTCCTTGTGGACAACGTCGGATCTCTGCCATTGGCACCTGAAGTAACTCTGGGACAAACAAGGAGCCGAAGCCGGGGCAAAGGCTAAAACATGTTGGGAAGCCAGAATGACATCGCTAGTAGGTGGAGGCCATTGCTATTAGGAGTTGGAGGCCATTACTTCTAGGTTGGAAGCTATTGTGTAGGCCATCGCTTATTGGGTTGGAGGCCATTGTTACAAACACTCGTACTTTGGATTTGTATCGATTTATCTTGTCTCCCGCCCTAACCTTTGACTGAGACACTAGAGTCACTAGAGTTGGACGAAAGGTTGGCAGGGGTGGGCTTTTGAGGATGAACACCAGGCCAGCAGCAGCAAACGCAGCAGGAAACGCAAGAGACGAACAATTGAGGGACAGCTGAGCCCTACAATGCAGCTGGCTTCAACTGCCAATGGGATCAAGCTACTTATTTTTTGCAAAAACAAGGTGAGCTCAGGTAGCTGAGGCTACCTTTCGTGAACTGATGTGAAATGTCCTCACATTCTGCTTCTGAGGGCTGGCTTTGCCAATCTCACCTTAGTCAACTTGTGGCTGCCCAGTAGAAGTTGTAGCGCAGCTTGCCTTGCATCATCCTCAAAGTGGGCACAGTAAGCCTCAGGAGCACCGTCAATGGTATTCAAAACAGCCCCCGGGAGCTGATTCTGGGGCGTTCTGACGCATTCATTGAGGAGCCTTCAGTCTTCTGCATTGTTTGTATTTTCTCAGGGCAAAGTTCTTTTCTTTTTCTTTAAAGCAGTAATTTTACTTTTTCCTGCAGTGGTTTTCACGTCCTTTCTAGCCAACTCTTGCATTCTCCCAAATTTGCACCTTCCAAATGAACTGCTCACTCTTGCGTCTGAAGAACGCGGTTCACTGCACGCCACCCTTTCTCCAACATGGCCCGAGCAGTGTGCCCACCCTGACGTAGAGCCGCTCCCATCGTGGATGCAGCTCCAGTGTACCTGCGACTAAATGCTTCATATTGTTACGTCAAATTCATCATGAACAAGAAGCTACTAGGGGCTCCTGGCCTTACTACTAGTTACTAGAAACAAAACGCTACTAGGAGCAAAGCGTGCTACGTGGCACTTGCAAGTCTTCCGCCCGTCCTCCACGCACGGCTGAGACCGCCTGTACCGCCGATCGGTCGCCAAGGCACTGCTGCGAGAGAGTATCCCCCAGATCTGCCCACATACTCCTGAGTCCGTTTCTATTAGCTTCTTGTTACTAGTAGTAAGGCCAGGAGCCCCTAGTAGCGTCCTTGCTCCTAGTAGCGATGCCCTTTGCTCCTAGTAGCGAACATGTGCTCGGTGTTTCTGGACTGTGCTTTTGCACAAGAAAAGCAAAGTGCCACGTTTGGCACAGGTCGCGTCGTGCGGCACGTCCTCTCCTCAACAGACTCTGCAGAGTAACCTGACGATCGTTGCCCATGTCAAAAAAGGCCAGGCCCTTGCTGTATCCTGGCAACGCAAGAAGCTATGAAGTTGGCAAACGGAAGGTAAGTGGGTGTCATGGGATTGATTCTTCCACGAGTTACTTTATCAAGGCACCAAGCCTCTTATCCCTCTTTCTCTCCTTTCCTCTGCTTCTATCAAGTGCCGTCAGACTGAGTTGCAGAATGCTATATTGTATCTTGATGTTGGATTGAATGAATCTAAGATAAACTTAGATGGTTTGTTCTTAAATCGCGGTGGTGCAAAACACACAGTCAACTCTTCCAGACGCATCAATCTGGATGACTCCCTGTAAGAAGTTTCGCTGCACCTCCCAAACCATTTGCACCCGCACAGGGGGGCGATGAAGACGTGCAACAATCATCTTTTCGAGTCGCGCACAGAACGGAGGGGACATCGAAATGCACCCCCACCACACAGTGGCCGAGCACCAAACGCCCAACCCAGCCAAAAAAGGGAAAAACAGGCGAGTGCCACAAACCAGCGCACAGTCACAGCCCTAGCAACCGGTCACTGATACAAACAACTTGCAACGTGACCGGTATGATGTTGCAAAGCTTACATTTTGCTGGGCTGCCGGTTGAAGGCAAAAAAGTCTTCAATACATTCACCAGGAGCTTTTTATTGAGGACAGCTACCAGGTCGAACAAAAGAACCACTGGAGGAAACCACAACTCCAAATGCTCCAAATTGCTCTTTCTTCTCTCCCCTCCCACCCTGCCCTGTCCATGCGAGCGCTTCTTCAACCAAGATCCCCCCAGCCCTCAGGCGGGGGGATCTTCCCTTTTACTCTCAAGCCGCGACGTCGGAGTCACAGGCAACCACCATGCATGCCGCGATGGTGGTCACAGTTCCAACATAGGCAAAAGAGAGTCGAACGGCAAACTCCACGAAAGAGGGGGAAGAAGCGTGAGCTATCCTGCGTTCAGTAGCTAGGAGCGTTTCCCTTGGTGCCTAAGTACTCCCTTACTGAATTATATAGGTTGCAAAGGAGGCCTACTTAATTAAGTGAGGAGGCAGGGTCGAGCGGGCACAAACAAAACGAAGAAAAGAAGCCAACACCTGCACCTTCCACCCATCTGAGCCTCCCGTGGGAGAAACTGCTTGCGCAAAGCCTTGCAAGGATGGTTGACGAAGTATGTAGGCTTCAAGCCATCGCCAAGTGACCTAGCAGAAAGAGGCCCAGGGCCCAAGGGGGCCCAAGGGGCAGGCAATAGCGTCCTTGCTACTAGTAGCTTCTTGTTACTACTAGTAAGGCACTTGTTACTAGTAGCGATGCACTTGTTCCTAGTAGCTTCTTGTTACTAAGAAGCTTCAAAGACATACTGACATACTAGAAAGCTTCTTGCTACTAGTAGCGATGGCCTCCACCCTTTTAATAGCGGTGACCTCCACCCCCAATAGCGTCCTTGCTACTAGCTTGCATACTTGCATACTAGCTTGCCGAAAGCCATCAGGCAGCCATGTTCCAAATTGACCAGGAAGCTGCCATCAAGAACACATATCAACCATCTATGAATCACCTCGCAACCTGCAAATTCTCAATCCGGCCTGGTACTGCAAAAGGTTGGTCCGGTCCAAGGAATCAAAACAGTTGGTCCGGAGCACCCCAAGTTGCTGTCGAAATCTCAGACAAAGATGCCATGCGGAATGACTTGCAGAACGGTGTGCGAACCAAAAAGGCTTTGGAAAACGTGCAAAAGCAACCATGCAAACATGATATTCCGTCTCTATTCAACTATGACCCCATGATCCCATTCTCTCCGTCACTTGCTGCTTTGATGGAAGCTCGTAGGGCCGAATGTAACACGCCAAGAAACACTTCTTGCGATTGCCCAGATAACTTTGCATCAAAGAAGCCAAAGCCTCGAGCAACACAGCTCTCGAAAAGCAACGCAGGAAATTTAGACTTTGTCAATAACTTCAGCGTAGAACTGTAGGATGTCTCGATTGATCTCTATTGTGTCGGAATATCGACTGAGACGGCCAAGTTTCGTTTGGCCGATTCGATTCGCCTTCGACTTGGCTGGAGATCTCACCATACACAGCATCCAGTTCCTTGTTGAATTCCTCCTGGTGAGACATGAGGAGCAGGCTATAAACAAACAGAAGCACAGCGAGCCCCTAGTAGTGTCCGTACTCCTAGTAGCGATGCCCTTTGCTACTAGCTTCTTGCTCCTAGTAGTAAGGCCAGGAGCCCCTAGGAGCGTCCGATCGCTCCTAGTAGCAAACACACCGTCAGCGAGATGTGAACTGAGAACCATGACAGCTATGTGATCTGCCGACTCTTGCCTCCTCTCCTGTCACCCGGGCCTGGCGAGAAAACGCCATTCAGCTTGGGAGCACTTCTCCAAAATGGAAGCCATTTGAAAGGAAATACCCAGAACAGAAACAAAGAAAGGGAAATAACGGTCTAAATGGTCTTTAAATCTCTTTAGCAAAGAGAACAGGTCAGAAACACAGTGAAACACCAAAACACATCAAACAAGGAAACAATTTAGTCCAACACGCAAAACCTCTAAAAGCGTACTTTGTTGGCTGAAGCAAAGCCACATGAAGGTCCAAGTGAAGCCAAGAACATTGAGGATGGAGCCTGGCTTTCCATGTAAGGGATGCTCCGAATCCCCGTTCGTAGCGTCCTTGCTCCTAGTAGCGAGGCCCGGAGCCCCTAGTAGCTTCTTGTTCCTAGTAGTAAGGCCAGGAGCCCCTAGTAGCTTCTTGTTCCTAGTCCCAATTAATGCAAGACTTGTTCATTCTTTTTTCGTAAAAATGACATACGCTGGGAACCATATCCAGAGGAAGGAACACAGGACTGCAGGCACAGGACTGCTCTTGAAACATCTGTGCACTGGCCCCGCTGCGAGTGCAAATTGGACTGAAACTCAGTCGTATGAAATTCAGCCCTGCTGCGCGACGTGGTTTTCTCTGAACGTACTTACTCTTCGCTGTGTTTCTTTTTAGGGGCACCGTGGCATGGTGCCCACCATCGGCAGCAGAACAAAATGGATAGATGAATTTCTGCTCCGTGCGCTAGGCTGCACTTGAGCAGTCTAGACTAGATTGGCCGCTGAGGGCTGTGGATGCTCAGGTGCTGAGTGACCTCACGTCATGCTCTTCTGCGTCTTATCGGGCCAGGCCACACGGTCAAACCTTGAAGCAAAGTCTGGCTGTGAATGCCAATCAAAGTTCCAAAACAATGTGCCCTCCGGTCTTGACATACACAACACTTTGCAAACACCATGCTTCTTGCAGGCTAAATTGCCTTGGGTCTAGCCGTGGCTCGACCTAGCATACAAATAAATGATGAACACACTAAACTTAAACATGCTCAAAGACTGCCCAAGTCTGCTTGGTGGTCGATGGTGTTCCAATCACTGCACTGCTCTACCAAAAAGAGAAGCATGGCCTCAAGGCATCAAACTACAACATCCACACATACCCAAATCTGCCCAAGTCACATTCTTGGTTGTTGAACCACGCGTGGTGGCTGCAAGATTCCTTACAAACGTCTCAGCACGCCGTCATGAAGGTGGGAACGGCTGAACACTCACCCCAGGCAAAATGTTACTTACATTTTGCTAGTGCGTGGCTTCTGTAGTTAGGACTGCCAAACCCAACGCAGGACATTAGAACCTGAAAACATCCGGAGGCAAAGAAACAGTCCTTCGGAGAAATTCACCAACAAAACTTTAGTAGTTTCAAGTGATGACCTCCAAACATACCTCGGTGCTTGTGCAGCCCAAGAGCTTTGAATCTGCAGTGCTTGGTCTTGAAGCTTGCCTAGCATGTGTAAATCATTCAAAAACTTACCAGCAAAAAAATGGGGCCCACATCCTCCAGAAGTTTGCTGGAAATGCTGAGTGGTGGCAGTGGCTCAGTGGCGAATAAAGCGTGAATGGAAAGCCGCAGCTCGGACGGACGAAGTGCGGTCCAGTGGCGAGACCGGACGGAAGGAAAGCGCTGCGGAGATGCGCTGAGTTGCACGTCCCACCGGGTCGGGTTTTTCACTCGAAGGTTTCAAACAGCGCCACCCAGAAGTCTTGACACATGGCATTGTGCCTCGCGACTAGGAACAAGAATGCAACTAGGGGCTCCTGGCCTTACTACTAAGAACAAGAAGCTAGTAGTAACAAGTGCCACGCTAGTAGTAACAGGTGCCTTACTAGTAGTAACAAGAATGCAACTAGGGGCTCCTGGCCTTACGAGGAGCACGGACGCTCAACGACTCTTGGTGAGCCGTTCATGGCCTCTCTGGGCAAGTCGCCGTGGTTCGCCGAGCGTGCGCAACGCCAGGAGGAAAAGTCAAAGGACCCACCAGCAGTCAGCATGGCTGGGAAAAAACCGGTTCGATGGGAACCTTGATGTGAACCGCCAGCGAATTGAAGCTTAAAAACGCACCGCAAAGGATGGAATCTTTTTCGGGTAATTTTTAGGACTCTTTCTGGGATTTTTGTTCGTTATTTTTTTTATCGGGGGGCTTTACAAGCATCAGGGGCAGCAGAAAGGTCAGGGGACGAAGCAGCAAGGCCAGCGGGAGGGAGAGAGCGAGACAGCGACATGTGAGGAAAGAGGAGAGGTATAGGTTTCAAATTCATTTGCATTCACGTTCGCACGACACTTGCCCCTGCAGCGGCTCACGTGTGCTACGTTGGCATTGGAATGGGCCACGTGTCCTCTAAATTGTCCACGCGGGTGCCTTCAAAAACAAAAAACAACATTGGAGTGGCTCTTGCATCCTTTAAATTTCTCCACTGGCTGGCTCACTAAAGGTCTGCTACATTGGAATGGCCCTGCTTCCTCTACTTGTTACTTTCGGGTGGCTTACAACAAGTAACAAGTCTACATTGGAATGTCTCCTTCCTCCTCTGAATGTGAACCTGCGGTGGCTCATCCAAGGTCTGCTGAGTCTGTTTCCTTGGAATGAAAGCTGCCTCCTCTCAACTCCACCTTCGGCTGGCTTACGAAAGCTCTGCTTATATTGGATTGCCTCCTTCCCGATCTATATTTTAACGTCGGGTGGCTCACAAAATGTTTGCTACCCTGGAATTGGCCTCTGCCTCCTCTAAATTTTGCCCTCGCTGGCAAAAGGTGTGCGTGCCGCTCACTTGCCCTCGGTTAACACACAAAAGGTCTTTGTCGTGTGCATTTTATAGTGGGATGGGTCACTAAAAGTCTGCTACCTGCTACCATAACCCCTTCTTCCTCTAATGTTTAACCAGCTCACAGAAGTCTGCTACGCTGGAACGCACCTTCCTTTTGCACATGTTACCCCAATTTGGAAAAGGTTGCACTTGCGCACGCAAAAGTCACCTCACTTGCGCACACGAGATCGACAGTCGAGCACGCCTGTTGAATTGTGGAGGGCCTATGCCCAAAACCTCACTTGCGCACGCAAAAATTAACTCACTTGCGCACGTGACCCCCTTGCGCACGCAACGGCTCACTTGCCCGCACAAGGCATGTTGCTGCGTTGGAATGGCACCTCCCCCCTCCAAATTCTAACCTTGCGTGGCTCACAACAGGTATGCACCGTTGCAATGGCATCCTTCTCCTCTAAGTTTTGCCCTCAGGTTGCTCACAAAAGGTCTAGATCTTAACCTCGGGTGGCTCATGAAGGGTGTGCGCCGTTAGACTGGCACCTTCCTCCTCTAAATTTTCTCCTCAGGTGGCCACGACCATGCCTAACCTTTACTCCAACCAGGTTTTTTAACCTCAAACGTCCTTTGTCTTGACCCTTCGCAGATTTTCTCATCTCGTTTATGTCGTCATGGAATTTAAGGGG